ACCATGGGTAGAATGGAAATTGTTTTAAGCATATCATGTTAACTGATCCACTCACAAATGGGTCAAAATTAGACCTATGTAGGGCTGTTGGTATAGGAAGCTGTAAATGCTAAAGCACCTTCATTACATGTTCCTTTGTAATTGGCCTGTCTCGTATGTGTATTCTGTCTTCAGAAATGGAATTATTTATTTATTTATTTTTTTGCTTAGCTATTCCTTTTGTTATGCTCTAGGCCAAGCTTTATGTGGACCATGTCGAGAAGATACCCATAGGGCACGTATGTTCTCTCAACACGACATCATCCATATGTCCAAGAGAAGCAAGGAAGGTTTAAGAAAGGTAAAGGAAAATTTTCTATGCTCTAATAGAGAATGGCAATTTACTTGTCTTATACAAGTAGACCTTTCCATGCAAGTTTAATTAGTGTAAGAGCTAACACACTAGTTGAATGTGCAAATGCACCCCATGCATTTTAATTTTAATGCTCTTTTTTGCATGTGATTTACCCTATGCAAAAAACTGTTGTGCCCGTTCTGGAAGACTGCAAAAACTTTGCAGATCATTTAGTTGATAGATACTTTATCCAGATTACATGTTGTGTAAATGTCATCTGACAACCCAATAATGTGAGGGATTTCTCAATCCCTTTTCCTCTGATTGATTAACAAGTCCTTTTCCTCTTGCATGTGTTCAATACAAATGAAAGACAGTGGAGGGAGAGGAGCATTATGAACAGTCAAGGATACCTGCACTGTAATCATTCAGGCTCCTGTAAGAACAAAAGATGCAAGTGCTAAGGATATAAAAAAGAGAGCATAAGGGTAACTGAAACTACCTGCCAATCCTTCTGATTAAGGCTAAATTCTCCTCTGTAATTGCATGGAAATGCAGAATCTAAATTAAGATGCACTAAGATTTACTTGTACAAGTATATTTCCATTATTATTTTCATGTGAGTTAGACTTAAATGGCAGGGTCAACTTGCATGTGACATTTATCTGAATTAGGAAGGGATGTGGATCATTTAATTGTTTTTCTCCTAAACAGTGTGGGCTCCATGGGGAGCCCTATATTATGTTCTCCACTGCCAAGAAGACTCTATTATGCATCAATTGCTTTCGAGACACTTCTATAGAAGCACGACTGCACTGCATTGACCTGGACACAGCTTACAATCAAGGCTGCAAGAAGCTTGAAAGGGCTGTCTTAGTGAGTTAAAAAAAAATAATCCCTTCAGTCTAACTTAAACTGAGGTGAGTGCTTAGTGAATTGCCCTAATATTGACTTTCTAGTCCCTGAGGGAGCTTCAAAATTCTGTGCGGGATGGTGTGATCCTGTTTCGAGCCCTGTTGGAAGAACTCAAGAGGAACATGGAATCAGAGAAGAGTTCCATAAATTGCCTCTGTCAGAATTTAGAAACTGAGATACATGGTGTGCAAGAGAAGTTGCTACACCAAGTTGACAAGTAGGCCAATAAAATATACACTCCCCATTGACAATGCTTTCCTCAAGAAGCAAGAGTTATTATTCTTAAAAGTGTCATCTATGTGAAACGCATGATGGGTATTTCAGGGAATTTGAGAGGAGAAATGAGCTGTTCAGAAGTCAACTAAGCAGCCTGGGAACTCTCCTCCCCACAATTCAGGACCACTTAATAATGTGCACCACATTTGCATCATCTGCCTCAAAGCATGAGTTCCTTCATCTGGGATATCATCTCATTGACCGTCTCTCAGCTCTAACCCATATGTCTTATCCTCTCAGGTATACTTCATTTCTGCTACTCACTTTCACCTTGTGTCACTTCTAATCAAGGATTTTAAATAATTTCAAGTTGTTGAAAAATTGACATTGCAAGCACCCTTGATGGCTCACTTAGACTTGGAAATATTTCATGAGGAACCTTGAAAGAAATCATTTATCTGTCCTTTTTTTTTATTGCTTGCAGAACTTAGTTCAGACCATACTAGACAAGGTGAAGAATGATCAGACACTATCAACAATCTCGGAGGTTTTTCATTTGTCTCCCTTTTGTACATAGGAGGCTATGGGCATAAATCCCCATGAGGTGGCTTATGACCCCTTGAGCTGAGTCCATGCTTTCAAAATCTCATGTCTTAACTCAGTAACAATGATATGCACACTTGATCATGACAAACTGAAACAATTCCCATGAGAAGTAAACTTGATTGAACATTTCTTGATGCTAAAAATAACCACAATGCATGGGTAAAGGGGAGACACAATGAGCTCTTTTTCTTTTTAAAAGGAAAAAATATATAAGGAATTTCTAATAAAGTTATCCTATGCTTCCACACAAAGTGGTAAAAGTGATGAAGTATTTGTGACTCAAACTTTAAATAGAGAGTTCACTCAAGTACTGTGATTGGAGTAATATGATAGACCTGATATGCTGCATTGAAGTAGAGGTGTCAATAAATCCTAATTTACTTGTTCCAGCATGGTTTACTATGAGTATACTCTTTCAACCTACCATCCATGAAAAATACTGATGCCAGCGCTTTCGTTGTTTGTATGATAAAAATTATTTTGATATAATAGTAAAGGGGCACATGGAAATGCATGATGAAATGTTCTATCATGATACCTATGGTCTTCCTCTAAAAGCACATCAGTCTGTGGGTGCTCAGCTTCCTCCTTTTCATGAAAAAAATATATAACAGACCCTAAGAGTTTTTAAATGTCATGTATTCCATAAAATAAATGGAGTTTATAATTACTGTTAGTACATCTGTCTGTAGGAAAGTGAAAATCTGACCATTACATGATTTCCAGCAGAGATATTTTAGTGTCATGGGAATAGATAGATTAAAGGTGATCTTCACTGTGAATCCAACCTATTTACATCTAGGGAGTTTTTATGAGTGACCATCCTTGTTCTTAGCTATGAAATAACTGGATAATCTATCATCAATGCATGGCACTTTCTCTTGAAGCAGGCCATGCCAAAGCAGCCAAATAAAGAGCAACTACAAGACAGAATTAGCTCGGTGCTTGGAGCCACTACTGTTCCCAAAGGAGATGGTGTCACCTGCTCCACCTCCTCCTCCTCCTCCTCCCTTGGGAACAGGAGAGGGGATTCAGTCACCTGATGGGGCAGAGAATCCTCAGCCATCAACACTGCCACAGATGGGGACTGGAACTCAGCTACCCCATCGACCTCCTTCAGCAATGAGGATTTATGCCACTGTCCCTCCTCCAAGGAAATCCACAGGCAATACTCCTCAGAATCTCAGGATGAAAGTCACTGAAGGCAGTGGCCCTTTTGCTGAACATTGCAAGGCCTATGATGTATCTTTCAGGGTGAGAAGCATGCGTAGACACTCTCTGTAATATTGTGGCATTCTGACAGCACTCTAAACATACTTGAGGAAGTAGGTCAATGCTTGATGAATTTCTTGGTTTGATACCCAGGAGATGGGCACAAGGTTTGTGCAGTTGAAGGAACAGGTGCAAGAGCTTCACCGGGATGTCACTCTCCGACGGTGTCTCACCAAGCAAGGTCGACTGGAATACATTCTTGAAGAATGTGCATCTTTGGAACGACACCTGGGAGAGACATGTCGAGACATGGAAGCCTTGCGATCTGTCCTCAACAAGATGTGGGATGAAGAATTGCAACGGATTCGATCAGAGCAAGAACTTTTCCAAATGCAGGTTGGTACATACATGTTTCATATACCCACTTGTTCAATGGTGACATGGATTTCACATGAGTCCTCTCATGATCTTTCTGGTTTGTAGCCATATTTGTTTCACAGCTTACATGTTGATATTTTTCTACCCTTTAAACTGTTACTACATGTAGAAATGCCCCATCACTGGTAGAAACACTGAATAATCAATGAAAGAAAATAAATAATTTAGTAGATGATTTAGTTGTAATGACCTGGTAAGAATTAGAACGTATCCAATATCATGATTGAAATAATTTGACATTATTCAGCTGAGGTGGCAATGCTTCAGGGGGTTCTGGATTGCCTTCAATTGTGTCAAAATTTGCCATTGACATCCTTAGCTGAACCTTCATTAATTTAAACTCTCTCCTATCTACACCTTTTGCCAATCAAAGGAAGAGTGACTACAGAACATTTTTGTTCTTAAATGCTTTCCACTTGTAATTGTAAAAATCAAAATTGGACAAAAAAAGGCATGTAGGGCTTGTCTCTATTTTACATTCATTAAGTATGGTTTTTCCCAAGGATTATGGTAGATTGAAATGCTTTTCTCCCTTGCAATAAGATCCCTTTCTCAGGAGAATCCTTAAAGTCCTATTGAATTCCATTAATCACCTACTCCACAACCTGGAATTTCTATAGCTGGTATGTTAGAGTTACACAAAGGGGGAGAGTCAGATAATCTAAACAGGCTTCACTTACACACTGATTGGAAGGCAGGCAA